ATAAAAGCTTTTATTTTTTTCCATTTGCAATTATCTATGTCTGCAAATACTTTAGAATACAAATCTACATTAATTTGATTTTATGCAACAAAAAAACTAAGAAATATTGTTGCTAAAATATTGATTTCTGTTTTTGAAGGAACTAAGCTGCCATTTTCTGGGATAAATAACCCAGAAAACAAAGTTAACCTTTTTTTATTAGTCGACATAAAAAAAACTACTCCTTTCGTTTATTTTCAAAAAGTTTGTTTCCACCTCTGAATAATGTTAACTGCGACTCTCAGCTCTAATAAAAAAAAAGATTTAGTCCCCAAATTAAGCACAAAAAGAGAAGCAATTAAAATGGATCATTTCTTTCACAGACTCCTGCGTGCGTCGTTTGGCCTGAGGTCCTGCCTCCGGTATTAAGTGGGCGTTCCTAGAGTAACCAATCACAATGAGGCAACTTTTGAATCTAAATCTTAACAGTCAGTCAGAGGCAACCACACCTTCCAGAAAGCCTCTAATTTATTGAAAAATTGAAAATTGTTTGCTTAAATCTGATTTGCTGGTTGTTGTTTTTTTTGTTTGTTTTGGGGTTTTTTTTATTGGGTGGGGGGGTTATCTGTTTTTCTCATCAGAATCACTTTACACTGTATTCTTCATCAGAAACAAATATATCTAAACGATGTGGGAACCTGATTTGCATGCTTGGCGTTGGCGTTTATAACCCTGGATAAAGAAGCCATCTGTTAAATCTTACCACTGAGTTTTGCCTCCATGTGAGTAAAGTGAGGCGGTGCTGGTTCTCGCTGAGCTCCCGCTTTATCTCCGGACTCATGCGTTTGATCTGACCCTCCAACGTGATCAGGATTGGCTGCTGACATAACTCCAGCAAGTGCAGGAGGCCCTGCCTGGAAATACACACAGCCTCAACATGTCTGACTCACAGCACAGACTCAACACTGACCTCAAGTGGTGCATTCACAGAATGCTTAAATAATTGGACTTTAAAGGGGTCATAGAATGCAAAACCTAGTTTCCATTGTCATAGATGAATAATGATAGTTCAGTGGGTGAAATGGACGTACAGAGAAGTTCAAACACATCAACTCCTCCTTTCTCTACTATTCTAACAACTCTAAACTTCCAGCATAAAACGGGCGAATCCAAACGAAGCACAGAGTGTGGACTGCTGGGCCGCTGACTGGACCGGACCTCAGCAGAGAGCCATGAGCCGCCCGTCCTCAGCCGGAGGAGGGGGGGCCGGTTAGACAGGCGGGGGGAAGCACAGGGCAGCCAGTGTCCAGGCTACCGTCAGTGGGTCGGGTTTGGTCGCTCCGCCCCTGCTGCCTCCTGACCTCCGTCCGCCAGGGTTCCCTGACCAGCCCCGGAGCTCACGTCTCGGTTCTAGTGCCCGGGGTGTTTCGACTACGTGCTGCGCTGTAGTCGAGTTTGAAATTTCCCCCGGACATTTTTTTAGATCTGAAAAGCAGGACATGTCCGGGAAAAAGAGGACGTCTGGTCCCCCTACCATATCAATGATGTTTCAGTAAGTGAGTGCTTGTTGCTATGATGCGTCTTTGCTCAGCAGCTTGGCTCGTTGTAAACCAACCAATCAGAGCACAGCTCATCTAAATATT